AAAATACTTCAATATAATGCTAATATCAACTCTACAGCTTATCTATCACAACTGATCTAATATGACATAATAAACAATATAAATAACATATAAACATGATATATACTCTAGAATGAGTAACATATGTCATTATGTGATTGGGGGCGGCCATTCCCGCTCCCGCTCTGACTATATCTTCCCATGCTCTTATTATAAGAGAAAATGGAATGTTTATTTATATTTAGAAATTTTAGCATACAAACGGAGGTACAAAAAATACAGGTAAGAGCAGCATGCCAAAGCCACTTATATGCATAGCATTACGGGCTGGCTTAAAATTAACTTAAGATTAACTAAGCAATGATGAAATCAGTGATAAGACATTATTGTAAACATGTAACTATAAAATACAAATGAGTATTACAAAGACAGGTCCTATGGTTGCTTGCATTGCTGTTCATTCAGTAGAATTTTCTGAGACTAACTGCAATAGATCACTAGTTTCATAAGGAAAACGCTGAAACAATGTATCTATAAATAAGAAATATTGTATAAAAACATAATAAAACATAATAGAGAATGTAAAGAAATAAACTGGTTTTATAAAGTGTACATACATAGAGAAGAGATGTTGGCAGAGTGGTGTATGCTGTCAGTGGCCCTATAAACCCCAACAACAACACTGGAGGAGTTCGCTTTTTTTCGTCCTTTTTCTATTGCTTAATCTCTTAACTTACTTCCTACACTCTTAATGCTACACTTTATTGCTGAACTTAACTGCTACAATATGTTTTTATTTTTTTTTTCACTTGACTTTTCACTGATTTACTTGCTACACCCTTAATTAATGCTACAACCCACAACCTGCACACCTCGCTTGTGTTTATCTATGGATTCATGCTTTAATTCCAGGGACATCATCCTCTTTTTTTTCTCAGCACTGTCCTTGCACTTACTTAGGACCCATGGTTAGAAAAAAGAAATATATCAAAATAACTGCACAAAACGCAAGCAAAACACAAGAAAAATGCTTCTACAGCACGGTAAACACATGCATTGCTCAGTGGATGTTGTGGCATTTGCTGCGCCAACTAGCGGTGGCGTTCTGAAGCTCACACATTATTATTATAATGGGGAAGCGCTAAATCCGTAGGATTATACAGCGCCTGTGAGGGGAGGGGATGGAAAATATTCAGGCTTAATTTAGGGAACTGGAGCACAGATCCAATTCCCTAGATCAAGGGCCCCTCACCAGCGTCAAGGAACCTCCCTTGAGGGGGAAGCTCGCTCATAACTCAGAGCAAAAAATCGACAGTGATGGCTCGTATCTCAAAAAACTCTTAAGTAGGGGCACTTGTAAGTCGAAGTTCCACTGTACCTAGAACTGTTATATCATTTGCCCAAATCTTTCACAAAGTGTGGTGCAAGGTTTTTATACACGTATGACTTGCCAGGATGTTCCCCAGACTTAACCCCAGTGAGAACCTCTGAGCTGTGATAGAGATCTAAGTCAACTTCAGATATTTATTTCTTTTTGTGTGGTATAAAAATAATGTAGTTTACATGCAAAAAAACACTCAGGTACAAAAGAAAGCCACTAGTACGCAACGAATTTCAGCTTGCCTAATCTATAGGCCTGACCTACTTCCACTAGTGGGTTATTCCACTGGCGATTCCACCTACCACTCTACCACATCTGTCTTTAGTATTTAAGTCCCATCTCTGCAAATGTATACTGTACTTTTATCAAGATTGGTATTAGGTTAAGTCTGCCTAAAATGCCTTAGCATGATAGTGGCTTTCTTCGCTCCAATCATACGTTCCATAGCCTTAAGACAAAGCCTGTTTGAAATTGCTCAAGATATTCCAATTAACTGAACTTCAACTAACCACACCAACTGTGAAAATTTGAAGCATTCAAACAAGTCATTTCCAGTTATGATACAAATTCTAACAATTCTAAGTTTTTTACTATTTTACTACAAAAATTTGCCTGGACACAAACAAAACTTAATAGGCACTACCCTGGCCCTAAGATGTAATAGCCATTAAATATTGAAGTTGTTCAGAAGAGGTAAACTGAAATTTATTTAATGCAATTTAACAAGGCAAAAAATTTAACACTATTTTATACACACTGTCAAATCTGCAACTTCACTTTTGAATTTCATTCCACTGTCATTTTAATTTTTGGCACTGTTTGTGAATATTTGAAGCTCCACCAGTTAGGATCTTGGAAGTAATCCAAGCCATTCTAGGAAGCTGGGAATGGGTTCAATAATTCTGATCATAGGACACTTTAACATGCCAGATGTCCCTAGAATTTGGTCCTTATCATACACAAGCGTGTACCTGAACACATCACCTCCATACTGAGAAACTGATTACCTCAAACTATTCCTCATCTCCCACCACTCTCTATAATGGACTGAAGAAACCACTGGCTGGTGAAATGTTCCCAGAATAAAGATTCCCAAATGTTGCGCAAGTGCCTCATTCGTCAACTTGTTAGTTTTCTAAACCATTTACATTACACATTTCATGAGGTAACGGGATGGGTTCCTAGTCAAGTTCTGAACCAGCCGAGCTGTAGTTCGCACATTGGCTGCATGCAGCCAGCAGTAACAGCCTGGTTCATCAGGCCTCGATCCTCCAGGCAGCCTAGCCAGGGATCTGGAGGCCTGGCCTGGGACCGGGAGGCCTGGTCTGGGACCGGGAGGCCTGGGCTGGTACCGGGAGGCCTGGTACTGGGAGGCCTGGCCTGGGACCGGGAGGCCTGGCCTGGGACCGGGAGGCCTGGCCTGGCCTGGGAACGGGAGGCCTGGCCTGGCCTGGGAACGGGAGGCCTGGCCTGGCCTGGGAACGGGAGGCCTGGCCTGGCCTGGGAACGGGAGGCCTGGCCTGGCCTGGGAACGGGAGGCCTGGCCTGGCCTGGGAACGGGAGGCCTGGCCTGGCCTGGGAACGGGAGGCCTGGCCTGGCCTGGGAACGGGAGGCCTGACGGGGCCTGGCCTGGGACGGGAGGCCTGGCCTGGAGGGGGGCCTGCCTGGAACGGGAGGCCTGGCCTGGCTGGGAAGGCGGCCTGGGCCGGGGCCTGGCCTGGGACGGGAGGCCTGGCCTGGGAGCGGGAGGCCTGGCCTGGGACGCGGGAGGCCTGGCCTGGCCGGACTGGAGGCCTGGCCTGGGACCGGGAGGCCTGGCCTGGCCTGGTACTGGGAGGCCTGGCCTGGGAGTGGGAGGCCTGGCCTGGGACCGGGAGGCCTAGCCTGGGAACGGGAGGCCTGGCCTGGGACCGGGAGGCCTGGCCTGGGACCGGGAGGCCTGGCCTGGGACCGGGAGGCCTGGCCTGGGACCGGGAGGCCTGGCCTGGGACCAGGAGGCCTGGCCTGGGACCGGAGGCCTGGCCTGGGAGCGGGAGGCCTGGCCTGGGACCGGGAGGCCTGACCTGGGAGCGGGAGGCCTGGCCTGGGAGCGGGAGGCCTGGCCTGGCCTGGGAGCGGGAGGCATGGCCTGGCCTGGGAGCGGGAGGCCTGGCCTGGCCTGGCCTGGGAGCGGGAGGCCTGGCCTGGCCTGGCCTGGCCTGGCCTGGCCTGGGAGCGGGAGGCCTGGCCTGGGACCGGGAGGCCTGGCCTGGGAGCAGGAGGCCTGGCCTGGGACGGGAGGCCTGGCCTGGGACGGGAGGCCGCTGGCCTGGTACGGGAGGCTGGCCTGGGATGGGAGGCCTGGCCTGGGAGCTGGGAGGCCTGGCCTGGGATCGGGAGGCCTGGCCTGGGAGAGGGAGGCCTGGCCTGGCCTGGGAGCGGGAGGCCTGGCCTGGGACGGGAGGCCTGGCCTGGCCTGGGAGCTGGAGGCCTGGCCTGGGAGCGGGAGGCCTGGCCTGGCCTGGGAGCGGGAGGCCTGGCCTGGCCTGGGAGCGGGAGGCCTGGCCTGGGAGCGGGAGGCCTGGCCTGGGAGCGGGAGGCCTGGCCTGGGAGCGGGAGGCCTGGCCTGGCCTGGGAGCGGGAGGCCTGGCCTGGGAGCGGGAGGCCTGGCCTGGGAGCGGGAGGCCTGGCCTGGGAGCGGGAGGCCTGGCCTGGGAGCGGGAGGCCTGGCCTGGGACCGGGAGGCCTGGCCTGGGAGCGGGAGGCCTGGCCTGGGAGCGGGAGACCTGGCCTGGCCTGGGACCGGGAGGCCTGGCCTGAGAGCGGGAGGCCTGGCTTGGGAGCGGGAGGCCTAGCCTGGGAGCGGGAGGCCTGGCCTGGGAACGGGAGGCCTGGCCTGGGAGCGGGAGGCCTGGCCTGGGAGCGGGAGGCCTGGCCTGGGAGCAGGAGGCCTGGCCTGGGAGCGGGAGGCCTGGCCTGGGACTGGGAGGCCTGGCCTGGGACTGGGAGGCCTGGCCTGGAACGGGAGGCCTGGCCTGGGACCGGGAGGCCTGGCCTGGTACTGGGAGGCCTGGCCTGGGACCGGGAGGCCTGGCCTGGGACTGGGAGGCCTGGCCTGGGACCGGGAGGCCTGGCCTGGTACTGGGAGGCCTGGCCTGGGACCGGGAGGCTGGCCTGGTCTCTGAGGAGCTGGCCTTGGTATGGAGGCCTGGCTACGGGACCGGGACCGGGCCTGGCCTGGTACTGGGAGGCTGGCCTGGTACTGGGAGGCCTGGCCTGGGATCAGGGAGGCTTGGCTGGTACTGAGAAGCCTGCTGGGACAGCTGCCGGGATCAGACCGGGTGAAAGCCTGTTAGACTTAGTAGACAATAAAGCCTTTGGTTATAACTTTCCTCTATTCATACGTACCACCGTCCTCCACCAACCTTCACAGACAGTCGAGGTATGACTTACTGAGACGTTAATACATTAACTATAATATGTACGGCAAAACATCTTGACAGTCTTCCATGCTGCCGCATGAACAGCCCTCGCCTGTTTTACCTTAAATAAGGACAATAACTAAAGCATTTTACCGAATCCTACACACACATGTCTTTGGAAATGTTCGATATAAATATATTAAGAAAAATTTTAATAGAGTTATGTCATAAATCTTACTTTTTTGAGAGTTTCTCAGCAGCGTCGGCCATAGCGGCAGGAGTGTTGTGTTGTGTCGCACAACCTCGACTTCCCTCACACTCCTCCACAACCTTACTTTGTTAGTCACTGAAAAATATTATAATTGTCTACTGATTACTAAAAACTCTTTAATTCGGTGTTACTTCTTACTACAAATGCATACACCAGAGGTTAAAATACGTTTAAAAAATTATATAGCAATAAGTCGATTAAATATAATGATGCAACACTCCATTCAGAGATTAAAGAAAAGCGCGGGCAAATGTTAGTGACATTCAAGAATTCTTGAGGTCATGAAAAATTTATAAATCAAAAGTCATATTTTGCGCATCGTAAGTTATTAGACACATGGCCTTTACGCATTCATGATGCTACAAAATGAAAATATAAAAATATTTATGATCCCTGAGGAAATGAGGGAGCTGGTTGCCATAGTAACCAGGACGCGCTGGCCTCTGTAGTGTTCATGAATAGGTAAGTATTTTCTTCTCTTACTTCTTTTACGTACAGCAGTATGGCCTAATAATGATATTGCTCACATTAAATAAAACGGTTAAAGCATGAAGCGAATTAATAATATAAGAAAGGTATACTGTAGAATAAAATTGTTATATACAGTATTTAATTTTTATATAATTACCTGGAGTTTACCTGGAAAGAGTTCCGGGGGTCAACGCCCCCGCGGCCCGGTCTGTGACCAGGCCTCCTGGTGGATCAGAGCCTGATCAACCAGGCTGTTACTGCTGGCTGCACGCAAACCAACGTACGAGCCACAGCCCTGCTGGTCAGGAACCGACTTTAGGTGCTTGTCCAGTGCCTGCTTGAAGACTGCCAGGGGTCTGTTGGTAATCCCCCTTATGTATGCTGGGAGGCAGTTGAACAGTCTCGGGCCCCTGACACTTATTGTATGGTCTCTTAACGTGCTAGTGACACCCCTGCTGTATATACTAGAGACATACATAGGTCTTTCAACATAAACTAATTTAAAAAGATTTTATAGCTACACAGTACAAATACTCTTTACCCAAACAAAAAATAAAATGTCCACCTGCAAGTGTTTTAATTATATATCACTGTACGATAAGATTAAGATGAAGATAAGATTCTGTTTGGCATTATTAATCCAGACGTTAGCTCCTACCCAAGATAACGTAATAATATCCGTGCAACATCCAGAACTCTCTCTTATTTCCACTAGGTCCTTTAATCTTGTCCCCCAGGATGCGACCCACAACAGTTGACTAACACCCAGGTACCTATTTACTGCTAGGTGAACAAGGACAGCAGGTATAAGGAAACATGCCCAATGCTTCACTCATTCATGAGAGTGTGTATGCAATGTGTACAAAAGCTCTGTTCCACAAGGCACAGTACTCGCTCCCATCTTGTTCCTCATCCTCATATCCGACATAGACAAGGATGTCAGCCACAGCACCGTGTCTTCCTTTGCAGATGACACCCGAATCTGCATGACAGTGTCTTCCATTGCAGACACTGCAAGGCTCCAGGCTGACATCAACCAAATCTTTCAGTGGGCTGCAGAAAACAATATGAAGTTCAAAGATGAGAAATTTCAATTACTCAGATATGATAAACAGGAGGAAATTAAATCTTCATCAGAGTACAAAACAAAATCTGGCCACAAAATAGAGCGAAACACCAACGTCAAAGACCTGGGAGTGATCATGTCGGAGGATCTCACCTTCAAGGACCATAACATTGTATCAATCGCATCTGCTAGAAAAATGACAGGATGGATAATGAGAACCTTCAAAACTAGGGAGGCCAAGCCCATGATGACACTCTTCAGGTCACTTGTTCTATCTAGGCTGGAATATTGCTGCACACTAACAGCACCTTTCAAGGCAGGTGAAATTGCTGACCTAGAAAATGTACAGAGAACTTTCACGGCGTGCATAACGGAGATAAAACACCTCAATTATTGGGAGCGCTTGAGGTTCCTACACATGTATTCCCTGGAACGCAGGTGGGAGAGATACATGATTATATACACCTGGAAAATCCTAGAGAGACTAGTACCGAACTTGCACACGAAAATCACTCACTACGAAAGCAAAAGACTTGGCAGACGATGCAACATCCCCCCAATGAAAAGCAGGGGTGTCACTAGCACGTTAAGAGACCATACAATAAGTGTCAGGGGCCCAAGACTGTTCAACTGCCTCCCAGCATACATAAGGTGATTACAACAGACCCCTGGCAGTCTTCAAGCTGGCACTGGACAAGCGCCTAAAGTCGGTACCTGACCAGCCGGGCTGTGGCTCGTACGTTGGTTTGCGTGCAGCCAGCAGCAACAGCCTGGTTGATCAGGCTCTGATCCACCAGGAGGCCTGGTCACAGACCGAGCCGCAGGGTCGTTGACCCCCGGAACTCTCTCCAGGTAATACTTCAGGTAATATGTATGCATTTATATACATGTTTATGTAAGTATGCATGTGTATCATGCGTAGTATGCATGTGCATACGTATGCATATATATATATATATATATATATATATATATATATATATATATATATATATATATATATATATATATATATATATATACATATATATATACATATATATATATATATACATAATATATATATATATATATATATATATATATTATATATATATATATAATATATATATATATATGATATATATATATATATATATATATATATATACATATATATATATATATATATATATATATAATATATATATATACATAATATATACATATAATATATATATATATATACATAAATATATATAATATATATAATATAATATATATATATATATATATATATATATATATATAATAATATATATTCAACAAGTCGGCCGTCTCCCACCGAGGCAGGGTGACCCAAAAAGAAAGAAAATCACCAAAAAGAAAATACTTTCATCATCATTCAACGCTTTCACCTCACTCACACATAATCACTGTTTTTGCAGAGGTGCCAAGAATACAACAGTTTAGAAGTATATACGTATAAAAATACACAATATACGCCTCCAAACTGCTAATATCCCAAACCCCTCCTTTAGAGTGCAGGCATTGTACTTCCCATTTCCAGGACTCAAGTCCGGTTATATAAAATAACCGGTTTCCCTGAATCCCTTCAGTAAATATTACGCTGCTCACACTCCAACAGCTCGTCAGGTCCCAAATACCATTTGTCTCCATTCACTCCTATCTAACACGCTCACGCACGCTTGCTGGAAGTCCAAACCCCTCGCCCACAAAACCTCCTTTACCCCCTCCCTCCAACCTTTTCGAGGACGACCCCTACCCCGCCTTCCTTCCCCTACAGATTTATACATTCTCCATGTCATTCTACTTTGATCCATTCTCTCTAAATGACCAAACCACCTCAACAACCCCTCTTCAGCCCTCTGACTAATACTTTTATTAACTCCACACCTTCTCCTAATTTCCACACTCCTAATTTTCTGCATAATATTTACACCACACATTGCCCTTAGACAGGACATCTCCACTGCCTCCAACCCCCTCCTTGCTGCAGCATTTACAACCCAAGTTTCACACCCATATGAGAGTATTGGTACTACTATACTTTCATACATTCCCTTCTTTGCCTCCATACATAAGATTTTTTGCCTCCACATATACCTCAGTGCACCACTCAACCTTTTTTCCTTCACCAATTCTATGATTAACCTCATCCTTCATAAATCCATCCGCTGACACGTCAACTCCCAAGTATCTGAAAACATTCACTTCTTCCATACTCCTCCTCCCCAATTTGATATCCAATTTTTCTTTATCTAAATCATTTGATACCCTCATCACCTTACTCTTTTCTATGTTCACTTTCAGCTTTCTACCTTTACACACACTCCCAATCTCATCCACTAACCTTTGCAATTTTCTTTAGAATCTCCCATAAGCACAGGATCATCAGCAAAAAGTAACTGTGTCACTTCCCATTTTGTATTTAATTCCCCATATGCGAATGTGTTCATATATGTATGAATGTCTATACATGTATGTGTGCTCATATACTTGCATGTGGATATATGCATGTCTTTATGAATGTACTCACCTATATGTACAGGGGTCGAGCCCCACCTCTTAACTTGCTACTTGCCATATTCATTCCCTCCTAGCCTCGTGGGCCCTATCGCACCTTCTCTTAAGACTATGTGTGGAGCCTGCCTCCACCACTGCCTCACCGAGATCATTCAACATTCGTACTGAAGAAATACTTCTTGACATCCCGTGGCTTATCTGAGTCTTTAATTTCCAGATGTGTCCTTGAATTCCCATTTCTCGCTTTTCAAACAGCCTGTCCCTATTTATCCTACCATTTCCCTGATTATTTTGTATGTTGTTATCATGTCTCCCCTGATTCTTCCGTCCTCCAGTGTCGTTAGATTCAGTCTCATTAGCCTCTCTTCATAGGTCATGCTGCTTAACTCAGGAACAAGCCTCGTCACGTACTTCAGTACCTCAGGTGTAGGGTTCCAAACTGGTGCTGTGCACTCCAAGATAAGCCTGACAAATAGTGTATAAAGTGCCCGGAATGACCCTTTGCTGAGATTCCTTAAGGGCCACTCTTAGATTTGCCAGACAAAGGTTATTCGGTTGATTTGAGCCTCTGGCGAAATGCTAGGCGAAACTCTCTCCAGGTAAACTCCAGGTAATACGCTTGGACTTTCTCTCAGTGAGGTCTGCAGCCTGTCTCCCGAGACTATACGCGGAGTCTCCTTCCCCGATTTTCAGGACCTTGCATTTACTGGGGTTGAATTCAATCAAATACTTATCTGACCATTGATCAGGCAGCGGGGGTGTTGACCCCCGGAACACCCTCTATGTATACTCCTCCAGGTATACTAATCTTGCAATTTATTTGCAGCCTTTCATAGTCCTCGTCTGTTTTTATTCTGCTTATTAGTTTTATATTATCAACAAACAGGGATGCATCTGCCCCCATTTCATCTGCAGTATCACTCAAATAAACCAGAAACACTACTCACTGTAACACCGACCCTTGCGGCACCCCGTTTGTTACACTTCCCCATTACCTGGAGGTTACCTGGAGAGAGTTCCGGGGGTCAACGCCCCCGCGGCCCGGTCTGTGACCAGGCCTCCTGGTGGATCAGAGCCTGATCAACCAGGCTGTTGCTGCTGGCTGCACGCAAACCAACGTACGAGCCACAGCCCGGCTGGTCAGGAACCGACTTTAGGTGCTTGTCCAGTGCCAGCTTGAAGACTGCCAGGGGTCTGTTGGTAATCCCCCTTATGTATGCTGGGAGGCAGTTGAACAGTCTTGGGCCCCTGACACTTATTGTATGGTCTCTTAACATGCTAGTGACACCCCTGCTTTTCATTGGGGGATGTTGCATCGTCTGCCAAGTCTTTTGCTTTCGTAGTGAGTGATTTTCGTGTGCAAGTTCGGTACTAGTCCCTCTAGGATTTTCCAGGTGTATATAATCATGTATCTCTCCCGCCTGCGTTCCAGGGAATACAGGTTCAGGAACCTCAAGCGCTCCGAGTAATTGAGGTGTTTTATCTCCGTTATGCGCGCCGTGAAGGTTCTCTGTACATTTTCTAGGTCAGCAATTTCACCTGCCTTGAAAGGTGCTGTTAGTGTGCAGCAATATTCCAGCCTAGATAGAACAAGTGACCTGAAGAGTGTCATCATGGGCTTGACCTCTCTAGTTTTGAAGGTTCTCATTATCCATCCTGTCATTTTTCTAGCAGATGCGATTGATACAATGTTATGGTCCTTGAAAGTGATGAAATGTTCTAGTGCATTTAGGACCTTGTCGTAGTGATCCAATAGTTGAGACAGA